CCCCTCCCTGGCAGTGTTCAAGGCCAGGTTGGATGGAGCTCTGAGCAACCTGGTCTGGTGGAAGGTGTCCCTGCCCATGGCAGGGGGGTTGGAACCAGATGATCTTTAAGGTCCCTTCCAACCCTTACCGTTCTATGATTCTATCTGTATGTTCTGTAAAAGAAAAAAAGGAATGACAGCAGATAATTTTAGGCCCGTTTCTGGTTCTGCAAGTCAGCACTTTGAGGCTGAGGAGATCCTGCAGCATGAGGTTCTCACATCCTTCTGCAGGACCTGCCCTACAAGCGTGCAGCAGCAGCTCCAAGATTTCTCTGTTCCATGACCCTAAATGCAGCTGTTCTGGGTGGAGGATACGAAAGAGCCCAGAGCAAGGGAGAGGAGAGACGCTGCCAGCAGTCTGTAACTTGAAAAAGCCTGCAGGAACACTGGGAGCAGCTGCCAGCCCCTCGGGATGGTCCCCTCCACCCAATTCAACTCCATCATGGGATCCCAAGCGGGCTCAAATGCAAGGCTCCCATATGCTATTTGAAATTCTTTGATGAAAACTTGGCCCTTCTCCACAGAGAGTCGTTGGGGGAGAATCTGGAGTGGACACAGACTCCAGGGCTCTTCTTGCAATGAAAACACAACACTGAAAGCTAAAACACTCCACCTACCTGTGCTTGATAAAGTGAGATCTGTTAAATACTCACACATTCACAGAAGTTTTTATTGCACATTCTAGAGTTAATTTTCAAAAAATTCCAGTAGCTGCAAATTCTGTTTTCCTCCATCTCTGTGGTACAAAGATCTGCAATAATTCATCTTAGGAAGACACACGCCAATAGGTCTATAAACAATTTAATTGTTAAAGAGCTCTTTTCATCTACTGACTCCTTCCAAAAAGTCTTTAAACAATAATTAAGAACATAGCGCAGAAATATCTTGGTTTTTTAGTATTGTGGCTTATTGGAAAAAGGGGCCTGTGTTTGGAAGAACAACTCAGGAGACCAGCCAGTTGCCCCTTCCAATACACCCCCTGAATAATTTGCACTTGTGAGGAGATTCTTGCCTTCTGAACAGGACCAAGTTTCCAGGACTGCATTGTTTAAAAACAAGGCCTGGGTGACACCTGCCGATACGGGAGTTGTTGGAATCCTGGCTATATTCCCAGGGTTTAATTCCTCATTTTTGAAGCACACGCCATTCTCACTGTTCCCTCTGCCTTCAGAAATAGGGTTCCCGCCAGCGCTCCCACGGGGCGACTGTAAGTCAGTAGCCCAGCCAACGGTTTTTAAGGTTAAAGGCACAGTTAGTTTCCACCTTTTGTTTGCAGATGGAGGGATGCACTCCTCGAAGCTGGTAGGTGGTTGGCCGTGAAGGAACTGCCGTGCAACAGAGCTATCACTTCCTTTGGCTTCCCTGGGACCTGGCCTCTCGCGTTTCACTAACCTGCCAGTAAGCTGCTGCAGCAGAGAGTTTTGAAAGGAAGACCTAGATCGCTTGCATTTGGAATGGATTTTAGCGGGATTTTTAGGGGTGAAGAGAGTGACAAAAGGGCTTCTTTCCCCAACAGGCCGCAGTTTCGGGAGAGGTTTTGTCATAGGAGTCGACTGCGAATAAGGAATAAAGTCCTGAGCGCTAACTGAACAGCGTCCTGCATCCCACAAGGAGTGAGCTACCGGCGTGCTGTGCTTACTGACAACAGGGGGGGACCCGTGTACGGATGAGCTCCGCTTTGAACTGTTACAGGTACCATCTCCAGGACAAAGCACCAATTCAGGAGCTGTGACCTTTCCAGTCAAAGTATCTTCCTGTATTAGAGAATTACATGATTTATTTAAGAATTCAACAGGTTTTGCTACCCCCCTTGCAGCTGAATCAAAGAGATCAGCAGAAGCATTGTAGCTGCCTTCAGGGAATAAACTGCTCCACAGACTCTCTCTTCTATTAACACTTTTGAAGATATTTTCTGACAGTTCTGTCAATGGTTTTAATTCTCTTTTATATAGCCTTCTTGTATTGTTGGGAGTTGCTGGTTCAGAGTCCCATGCCCCTGTGAATGTCAGATCTGTTCTTTGGCTTGGTGTGGAAGGAGAATTTTCTTTGTTTTCACAACCAGCTAAACAGCTATCGTGTGCAGAATGCTCACAGGCAGCTGCCTTGCTCCTTTTCAAACAGGAGGTTTCTCCATGTTCAGCAGTGCACTGCAGACTAATAAAAGACCAAGCTGACTTGGAAATGTCAATATTTGCTTCTTTGGACTGCACGTATCTGCTCTTGGAAACAGAAGGCTCTGATGTAACTGGCAAGGACTGTGGCAGAATAGGTGGATGAGGGTTCAGTATAAAGCAAGATGCTCCACAGTCCTTGTCAGTTGAAGGTAAAACACTAGAGGAAGACTCACGTTGTGACACCTCATCACTCAGAGGATTTGCATTTGTCTGAAGACAAGCAAGCAATATGTTCTCCCAACTATCATTCTCTGCTGGTGGCAAGAACCTCCCTGAGACACTCGCTTCTGGCAAATCACCAGCTACTAGGGTTTGCCTGGGACACGATTTGTTAAGATCTACACCCGGCTTGCTGCTTTCAGGAAGGGCACGCCTGCCTGTGTCAAGGCTGGGTGATGTTACAACACTCTCACCATCTTCTATTCTGGCTAAAAATTCATTTAGGCTTTCCGAAAATGGGAGCTCCTCCCAAAGCACAGAGTCCTTCAGAGACACTCCAGCTACATTTACATCATGAGAAGCTGAGGCATCTCTCACGTAAAAAAGGGAGTTGTGTGATTTTTGTGGGCAAGAATAATTTGTACTTTTAGACTTTGGGCAAACGCTTTTTACCCCATATTCCAAGGGATGTTGTAACAACCTGGAACTGTTTCTGTGTGAACACTCAGTCTTTGAAGAAGACACTCTCTCTAATTTATCAGTTGCAGAGATACTGTCAGTCCAACTAGGCTGTGCACTCAATTCATTACCCTCCTCTTTATCCCTTTCCTTCACAGAAGGGCTGCAGAACTGTGAATCCCGAAGAGTTTGATCGCTGAGGCTTACACTGCACGATTCTGCAGAGACAGGCCATGCCTCTTGTTCATGCTGCTCACTCACCAGCCTTCCCACTTCCAGAGCGGAAAAGTCTTCTGCTGTTACCCAAGCAACAGACGAAGTCAGGCTGAAGGACTGCTGCCAGGACCCTAAAAAACTTTCTCTGCCACTAGACTGAACAAAACAGGAGTTTCTGCTCAGGCTCGACACGCTGCTAAGCTCACTGACAGGTTCATCTAGTGTGGCTGAAGATGCATCAGGTAAGTACGAGCTGTTATTACAGCTCCTGAGTTTTGCCGAGTGCAGGAGCCGATGGAAGTAGCTGATAACAGTAAAGCCAGTAACTGCAGTGTTTGGCAGGAAGATTTGGCAAGCTGTAAGGTTTTTTGTACTTCTGTTAATTCTGGAACAGTTTTGCAAGATGCTGCTGGCAGCAGAACGCCCTCCATCTTCCCTTGCACAACCCTGGGGGAAAAAGAAAACAACAACTTAGTACAATGCTTTATTTTGGGATAGGAAAAAACAAGAATTAATCCATGTCTTAAGTCAGGCTTAAATTCAGGTCTCCCTTTTTGTCACGATCTGCAGAGAAGAGAATACAAAACAGTCTGTCACACAAAGCAGTACTCCCTGGGAAATAAGCACTGGCAAGGGCTACAAAGGGCATCACAGTGAGAGGTTCTTTGCTGGTTGCAATTACGCAGTTTTGGAGCAGGAGAAACAATGAGGAATTCTAAGAAAGGACTTCACACAACATTTCTTCCTCCCTCTGGGGCCCTGGGCGCTTCCGGGCTCCCTCCAGTGCAGCTCTGTGCAAGTGGCTGGCTGCCCGAGGCCAACGCTTTTCTTTTATCGAGGCGGCACTGGGCAGCACTCGAAGCAGAGCACTCCAGGTATCAGATACCTGACTTGGCAGCTCAGCCATCAAAGCCAGCGTGACATTTCCTCTGTGCTACCTCTGTTAAAGGGAAATAAGCTACAACCTTTATCTTCTCAGATTTATTTGGGGAGCAGTGTTTCAAAGAAGCTTCACCTGCAATTCTTTGCAGAACCTGCTTCTCTACACAGAAATTACACATGAAAAATGACATTAAAAGCAGAGGGAATTATCTAATGTTTTGAGAAGTGGATAAACCCTCAATGTCTGCCAATGCCAGAGAGGCCAAAAAGCAAATACAGCTGACTTCAAATTCAACAACCCTCCTGCTCTGAGTCTTCGCAAAGGTTGAGGCTGAAGGCTGTTAGCCAAGGATAATAGCCTTCTGGTTACCTAGTCTTAAAAAAGTATGTTATGTTGATTCTGAGTTTTATGTGGGAGAGTGCAACTGCATGCATAACTGAACACAACTATACAGAAATGTCCACAGCCAAAGGCTAAACAAATCATCTTCGAATGTGTGTTCAGCCTTTGTGTGCACAGGAGCAGGAACAAGGCTGTTGATACATAGGATTACTTATATTTGCAAAGGCATCAGACCTAGAGACCTGGCGAATGGTTCCAGTTAAGTAAAGTTAATCCATGAAGTCCTCCAACTTCCACTATTAAGACACTGTGCATTAGGATAATCTCAGCTCAGATACAAACCTCATGGTACCTGTTGGAGAGGCAAAACACTTGCCAGGTAGAATTGAGTTCACAGGCTTCATAATAGGAATGACTTACAGAAGCACCACTTGAAGAGAACTTGGAAAACTGTTTCTATAGAAATATTACTAAGAACTAATACTTCAAAGTCTGTTAAACACATAAAAGAGCCACAGATGCATATGTTGAACAGCTGTACTTTATCAACATTTTTAAACAGGCTCTTAAATCAAAAAATATCCAGATGCTGCAGGGGGATGTGTTCCTCCTTACATTTCAGATGCCAGGGGACTATGTGGCACAGGAAAGGTAGGACGGTGCTCGAAAAGACAGTCTGTTTCTTGCCTGGACTGTACATGGCTTTTTTACAGACTCCAAGCTGTTACTGATACGCACAGGAGCTGGCACGGCTCAGGCTCTCTGAACAGCAGCCCTGATAAGCTGTCAAGCTGACTACTGCCATTCAAGATGACTCTTCAATGTGACTGATTTAAAATAACACAGGAGTCTGAAGGAAGAGGAGCAGAATCCTTCCCGTGTCCTAGTCCTAAGTTTTCTCAGATTCCCAAAAGATGTTGTACATGATGCTTTGGTACTCTGTCTATGCCCCTAACTGGCTACAAGCTAACGAAAAAACTCGTTATAAGAGAGTCACGTGGATTAAAAGTTACCGTCACTCCAAATATAAATCTTTTTCCAATGAAACAGGTTTCCACCGCTTGAACTAATGCTCCTGGAGACGCCTCTGTGTTTGCTTCTCCTGACAGCTGATTGCAGTCTTGAATATACCTTGAGTGAAAACATACAGAAGTATTGCACCAACCGAGGAAGCCTTACATAGCATTTTCACTGTCGTATAGGTAGGACACATGCTAAAGAGAAGACACTGTGGTAGCTTAACCTAAACACGGAATGAAAACAGGAAACCATGAACCTGTAAGTTCAATTGTTTACTTCACTTAATTTGTTAGTGAAATAGAAGTAAACAAAACCACCACCCTGAAAAGGTTTAATAGACACACAACTTTCGGGTGTTCCCTGTGTGGCTGTGATTCTTGTATCAACGCAATGGCTGTGTAATGCTGTCAATATGCTGCTACTGCTTACACACCCTTTCCGCCCTTATCTTCACAGCAACAGCAGCATCCATGTTACGACATGCAGACAGCTCTGTTTTTCACAGCTGACAGTAGCACCGCAGTCTAGTGTAGAATGCCTGCCATGAGAATGTTATTAATGCTGCTAATATGGGATTTAAAAAGTGTTCATCTTTGACTCAGTGACAGCACAAGGCATTGGACAATAACAGAACCGAGACACAAGCAGTGAATGTATCCCAGTATCCCGTCCTAGCAGTTTCACATGTCAGAAGGTCTGAAGTTTATAATCTGGGTGGTCAGGCTGTGAGAATTAACAGGCTTTGTTAGAAATCCCTCCTTGCTAAAGGAAAAACTGGTTATATTGAAGACCAGTTATAAGGTGCACACTTTTTTTTTTTTCCAAATCCAAACCATTGGAAAAAAATCACCCTACAATAAAGGTTCTATCTTTACTTTAAGACTCTTCTAAAATCTTGAGGAAAAATAAGGTCTAAATGGCTGGAAAAGCCCATTTATTTAGTAATCTGCCATTGGACAAAGAAAATGCAATCATCTCAGATAAAGGAAGAAGGACGCAAGGAGGTAGCCCAACCAACCAAACTGCAAAGCTCACTTAGCAGGTGGTAGCTGCCTTCAACTGGCAAGTGGAGGATCTCTCCGTCTCAAAATTTCAAGATTTCAGGAAGAAACCAAACTTCAGCGTTTTCTCAAGGTGATGGGTATCAAGGAAATGCTGGAACACTTCAGCAGCTTCTTCCCACTGGTCTCCCCACCATCCAAGCTCATCTCAGTTTTTTTAGGCTGAAAAAGCAGCAGCTATACAGTCAGAAACACTCCATTCCTTACCTCCGCAGATTTTCTGCAGTGTCCCCGAAGAATGGCTCTAAGCAACTTCCAAACACGGTAATGTCAAACAAATCATTAGTGTCGGCAATCTTTAGGGACAATCTGTATCTGTAGCTTGCATCTTTAGCTTCACCTGTGCAGCCACATTTTAGACAGTTAAACCTGACAGGACAGTAAAAGGATAAAAAAAGACTGAATAGGTGAACTTCTGCTCATCACTGCTGAGGTAAGAACTTATTGGCAGCCATAAGTATTACTGTTATAATGTATCAAATATTCCATTACAAACTATAAGATTCTTTCTTATTCTCTGCTCCTTGAGGCATCAATCTTACCAGAGGCTCAGCAAGGGGTCTGTATCATGACAGAATCCCTCTGGCTTTTTTTGTTGATTTATTAAATGCTAGCCTGTTGTAAAGTTGGAGAGAGACAGTGGGCTTTGAATGACCTGTTGGGGACTAATTTTTAATTCCCCGCACCCCCACTTTTTGCATTTCATTCTCATTTGGGATTTTTCTTCCTGTAGCTTGAATATAATACCTAGATTAAAAAAATCATCAGGAAACAGCACTGTTATCTTTTACTTCAGCATTTGAAACAACAGATATTCTTGTTTTGCAAAGTCAGCTTCTTCCATTTAGTGCTGACATTCATTGATTTACTGTTCTTCTGTGTTCTTCTGTGTGTCACAGATTTCACAAACAGTGGGATTAAAAAGGAAGGCTCATGCGTTTCTGGACACACAGTAAGTGGAAATGTCATACAGGACTACCTGACACACTGCACATATAGAATGAGAAGAAATAAAAAAAAAAAAAAAGGATTTGATTTGGAAGGGCTTTCAGTCAATGCCTTCCAACTTAGGAAGGGCACTGAAGAACTGGACTGCAGGGGATGCACTTGGAAGCTATTAACACACATCATTTATTCTCCTAAACTGTCCTTTGAACACAATACAACTCTTGATCCATAACAATCTCCAAAACTGCTACTGGAATAAAAAGAGCTCTAGATAGTGATAAGTAACATAAATACCTGAAATTAGCACTTATTTCTACAGTGACTGGATTTTCACCAATTTGTTTTAACCTGTGTCCAGGTCAGAGAGATTCCCAAGGCCTCTGACAGTACAGTTACAGTTAATGATCCCCAAACCAGGACATACCTCCTAGAATCCAGTATCAGCCTTGAAAAGCATTTTTGACAGGCAGGATAGATGAAGCAGGAGTTCTGGACAGAAATTACAGAGGCGGCCAAGAGTCCTCTCACACTGTTCATCTGCTCACAGCATCACCTGAAACAAGTAAGTCAAAATGGCTCAAAGCATTCTAAGTTTTTTGAGATTTTAACATTAACTGCTTTTAGCTGGGTTTTTTGAACATATTGAAAAGCAACCCTCAGGAAAAAATAATCTCTGTTTGAAAATGGTATCCCAGCTGCGGCAACATCTGTTATTACCCTTAGTTAACCCTTTAAAAAGAATTAAAAAAAAAAAAAAAAAAGATTAAAACAAAGTGATATAAAAATCCCAGTTGCTCACCACTGATGCGCAGCTGGTCCCTGAGAAATAGCCCAAGAAAAATTCACCCTCTCTCCATTTTTATGACTGAGCATGACATTGTATGGTATGTAATATCCCTTTGGTCAGCCGGGTCAGCTATCCTCATTGCCTTCTCTCCCTGCCTCTTGTGCACCCCCAGAGTGTTCATGATATTTGCACACCACTGCAGATAAATCACACAAATCCCCATGCATTTTTTGGGAATCTTTATTAGAACAATCCTTCAGCAGAGCACTGCAGCAAATCTGTTTCTGACTTTTTTTCTGTACTTTACAATGCAATCACAACATAGGGTTAAGAACTGGAATAATTCTATGCTTGTAATTCTGCAAACACCTTCAATATCAATGACTTTGAAAGGAGAGGGCGGCCAGAAAATCTCAAAAGGGCTTGCAATTGCAACTATATTCACACCCTTTGAGGCAAAGGGACAGCTTTACAGTATTTACCATTAATTTCAACAAAGCGGCCACATGGATCTGACACATAAATGACGAACTAAATGTTTAAATAAATAGGAATTATTTTTATTTTGTATTACTACTTTCCTGCAGAATTATCTTGCCTTTATTATCACTTCACTGTCCCAAATACCAATTTTTAGGGAACTTCCCCTATCTTAGAAAGTTAGCTTTTTTCTCAGCAGATGCTAGAAACATGTAGACAAAAATACCCTAAAGTACCTCAAATCATAGAGTTCCAACTTAAATGACCAAAATGTTCTCTACAGCTGAATGAAAGGACACCTTAAAAATCCTTCTTCGCAAAACACAGCAGTAACTAAATATACATCTCTTTTCAATGTAAGCTGCAGAATAAACTCAGAATAGGAAGTGAATTTCGTATGTTCATCCCATAACTCCTTCAGGGAGGCGAAAGGCCAAAGAGATAAAAAAGACTCAATAATCAACAATGCTGTTTTGTCTGTATTTTGCCACAAAGAGTTCAACTTACAGGTTATTCCTTTGCCCTTAGGGGCACCGTTCTCAGCATTCTGATAAAATCAAGATCTGTAACATGAGTACTAGAAAAAAGTAAATGACTAAAATCATTAAAATCATTACTCTGAGTAATACGGGGGGGGAGGGGGGCGTGGAGGTGGCACGTATTAAGAGAGACTCATTTGACCTAATATATTAGATGGCGCATGCCTTCAATACTTGCCAAAATGGAACTATTTTGCTTTAGTTACAGTAAAGAGGTCAGCAAAAAGTACATGGAAAGCATATCAATATATAGAAAAGAAGTTATAAAATTAAGTCTGATTTTGTTATTACCGAGGAAGGTGGCCTTGGAGAAACCAGCAGGCGTTTTGCATTCCAACAGGTTTTCAACTCAGAACTACGTAAACAAAGCACACTGTCATCTGTTCTTTTTAAAGGAATGACCACAGAATGACGGAGTGGTTTGGGTTGGAAGGGACCTTAAGGATCACCCGGTGCCATGGGCAGGGACACCTTCCACCAGACCAGTCTGCTCAAAGCCCCGTCCAAATCAAGGAAAAACGAACCCGCACAGATCGAACGCTTCAAGGATTCCACCGAAACACGGGAGACAGGGCGCAGCGCGTACGCACCCACACGGGTCCTGGCGGGAGCTCCCTCCGGCACAGGCAGACTTGGGATCCACACCTCTGTCGCTCTCCAGCAGAAACGTGGGGCTCGCTCTCCGGACCTACGTTAAAACAGGGACGGCGCCAACAGAGCTGGTTTGCTTCGTTGTTTTTATCAAACCAACCAACCCTCCAGAGGCAGCCGGGG